ATAAAAGAACAGTAATTAATGGGAAAAAACTTTAAGAAACTGGAACTATGTTGTGTGTTTATAAAACTTCCCCCGCTCACACACACGCAGTTTACATAAGCTGTCTGCAAATTACGTCACTTAAACTGCTCCATAAAATGGTGGCGAAGTTGGGAGAAACCACCAGTCAGTTGGTTGTTCAATAATAATTGAATTATTTTTTTAAAATTTATATTTTATTGACTATTCATAACCCGATCCATGGATACATAACCGCAAGACAATACCTGAACCTCTTTGAATTCTGCACCTAAAAATTAACCATAATGTTAAAAACTAAAAGTACTTACCATAGTTAATAAAAACTAAGGTAAAACTAAATAATATTTAGCTAATAGTAAGTCATAAAAACTAGCAAACTCACTCTAAAAACAAACTGAATTAAAGTAACAACAATATAAAACTATAATGAAAAACCCATTATGCAACCCTACCAGCCTTTGACTTCCCAGTAAATACTGTATCTATCCGTGTGTACTTTGCACACACACACTTTCACTTTTAGTATATAGTCCCTTTCATGGGCTCAACCATTAGGTTTCCGTTTCATCCCTCCTGTTATATCAGTAGCGTCACTCTTGGGTGTTGCTATCATTTCTGCTAGTCTTCCAGAACTGCTACATTTCCACATGAGATCCTTGATTGGCCAGACACAGGTGAGCCATGAACGCTACACATCGCACATCTGTCTGCATCCAGTTACACCAAGGGGGAAGTTGTGTCCACAGTAATGACTTACACTAGGCTGGGTGTGTCAATCTCAGCTGGGGGAGGCCCCGCTTTAAAGGTTGCTCTATCGACTCGGCGCTCGGAAGTTTTTCAGGAACCGAGGCGAAACTTTGCTGGAGTCGGGGCGGCTTGCGCATTGCATCTCCCAAGGGTGAAAGTGTGATGCCGATGAACCAAAAAAAAGGAACACCCACGCTGAAGGAGCAAGCGCACACACATACACACACGCATGGAGGTGAGCGCTGAAGACACATTCGTCCACATGCGGGTGTACAATGTTTGTCAAAGATGCACAAATAGAGAGTGCTCTCATATGACAGAATACCAGAGGGATCTGGAAAGGCAACGCTGTTTATCCTACAAAACAAACTTACATTCAGTGGAATGGATTGTTTTCTCTTTGTATTTCCTTTCTATTCCTCCTGATGTCTATTCCTGCTGAAGATGGAGGAACTGAAGACATTGCACATGTAATGCTGTTGGAATGTGTCATTTGACCACAAACTGTAAAGTACACAAGTGATTCATGTCCTCCAGCCCTCTCTCCTGACATTCCCACTGGACTGCAGTCGCAGCTCATTAACGTTTTGTGCCCAAGTAACCTTATCCCTTCCTCTACTAATACTTCAATAAATTACGTTGAATAACTGCCCTGTGGTTGCAACACCTAGACTAGCTGAGCCTAACAAGTGTTTGTCTGAAATGATTTGGTTTATGCCATTTAACACCTTTCAGAAATGTTTGTGTACGATAACGTTACAATGTTTCAGCTGCGTCTATGTCTGAGGTGTTGGACATTGAATGTCGTTAGTGTCATCACTGTCGTCATTTAGTGGGATGTTGTTGTAATTAACCTGTAAATGCTTGACCCATTAGTAAAGGTAATTAGAAGCTGAGCAAGTACCACTTATATGTTAATGAGCATTTTGGACTGGAGAAGACTCATAAGATGTTTAGTAGAAGCATGCTTTGCTGCAATGACTGCGATTCCACTGACCAAGTATACTAGCATTTCTATTAAGTGTTTTGGCGCTGAGGTGGTTTTTTTGGTGTATTTCAGAAACCTGCAATGAAAAAACCTTTTTTCTCATCACACAAGTTAGATGAGCAACGACCGGACATTTCCGCAAGTGAAAACCCCGGAGAAGAAAACGGCAGGAAGAAGCTGGAGGATCACAGCATGGCATTTAAAAAAATTTTTTTTTGTTAATGACTTATTGCGGTAAACAAACGTATTCAGCTGTGGTTTAGTGGAAACACCACAGATGCGGAGTTGGGTTTTTTTCCCCGAGACTGAGAAAGTCTTGGCCACATTTGTATTGAAAACGTAGCTGTTCAGGAGGAAGGGCGATGATTTTCTTTCACCGTTTGAAGATGCTTTGAACTCAAGCATCACACTGTAAAATAAAACATTAGGACTAGCTTAGATTGAGCTAATCCTAAGCACATCTGTTCAGCCTCCTGTTGAAGGGTGTGTTCACACCTGGAAAGCCCTTTGGTGGCCTTGTTTGGCATCAAGAAAGTAGACTATTATTTCATTTGGTGCGGTTTTCTTTAGGATTGTACTTTTTGCAAATGAGTTATGTCTTGCAAACACAGCTATGAGTATCATTGCTCCCATTGGATAGAATTGACAGCTCAGCCCTGGAAGGAAAACAAACTGACTGATGAAGTTCTTTTACTTTAATGCTGCATTGTTTAGGAGTTCTTCCGTTTTCTACTTGCTGAATAGTGCGTCCGCCCAAACATCAAGGAGGCTCAGTGTACTCCAGAACCATCCATGCCGTTCATCGTGAAGCCCGGCGACTGTGAGCAAACTTTTGTGCTATTAATGTCTTAATGTTCAAATTCTTAAGAGGGAAAAGTTCATTTGCAAGACCCTGTAGCAAAGTGGTGGCTACTTCCATTAACAACATGAGGGAAGTGTTGCACGATCCAAAGTCTTTCATGCACAAACCTTTTAACTGCAGAAACCTAAACAAATACACAAGCCCAAGAAAACGTCTTTGTTCTTATTTGTGAGAAAGTGCCTGCTGGAAGTTCCAGAGTCCAGAAGATGTGGCTTGAGGCCCGACAGCTGCCTATTCAGCAGTGATTTAGCAGCTGACAAGGCTGAACCATGTGGCTCAATAGCACTAAAAGGCTCATCCTGTATAATAGAGTTCCTCTGTGACGCAAACATGGAGAGGCAACCCCTCCCTTTTAGTTTACTCTGACATATAGCCCTACACATACACCTATCCAATTTGTCCAGCATTAAGTACACATAGAAAGACATTTTCCATACACGCGTGTTCATGTGAGGCGGGTTAGAAAGAAGCGCACACATGCACACGGCGCCCTGCCCCTCTAATGAAAAGCCAGGGCATTGAGACAATTGTGCAGGGCAAACACTTGTGTAATTGCCGTTGAGAAACGGCCCTTGTCGCAGGCTGTCATCGATTGGTTGTTTGCTCACTTGTGTGGGAGGAGGCCTCAGCAGCTTCGGTCTTTACTGGACTGACTTTACCTTAATGTGGTTCGAGGTTTTTACTCCGGAGAGACAGGAGATTGCCACACTTTACTTGTGGCTTTACTAGTAATAAAGTACTTGTAAGACTTGCTGAGAGAGAGAGAGAGAGAGAGAGAGAGAGAGAGAGAGAGCAAAACTTGTCGAGAGGTAATCAGTTATTTAGACTAGGGACTCTAAAGTTCTTGGCTAACTACTCAAACTCACTGCAGGAAATCTGGATGGTGATGAAGCACAATGAAGTTGGAGTCATCCAGGCAGCATTATGAATGAAGTGCAGGAGTCCAGAAGTGCGTCACTGTGTAGTATACGTCCATCCCCAGCAGATGGCCCCGCCTGCAAGTGCTTATTCAGGAGGGGAAGCGGTGACTTACAGGGGTGGGGGTGCCCTTTATTGATCTCATACTTTGAGATACAGCATGAAACAAACCATTTTTGGAAACTTTTTTCAACTATTTATCGCCGGCGGTGCTACTGCACGTCCACCAGTTCGCTCTGCCTCTTATTTGATTAATGACATCAATGGAAACTAGGGATGGCAAATGGTCCATATGACTGGTGAATTTTGTGAATGGAGCACTTAGTGACTGAGGAATGACGTCAGCACAAAAGCCGTATCTCTCAGCTGCGAGCCAAGTCCGAACCGGGGGTCTAGAGGAGGCTTCCCATTGGCTCGCCGTAGCATCACGGCCCACGCGATTGGCTGCCTGCAAATAATTAAACACCTACACAGTCGATGCACAAATCCGAGTGGTGGGATATATAGGCTGGTGGTTGGCGCTTCATGCAACAGAGTCAAGAGTTGTCCTGCAAGTTGAGAGAAAGTCAACTTCTTGTTGTTTTGAACAAAGATTCAGAGAGATATTTATATATATTTATTTTTACTGCTGGGTGATTACCATTGAAGGTGAGTGTTGACTTCCTTTATTGTCTACATCAGTGGGTTGGGGTTGTATGTTGACTCTTCGGTTGTGGGATTAGGAGGGTGGCAGCTGTTTGACTGGGTTGGTGTGGATGAAATGAGGCTGGTTCCCAGAAGCAGAACATGTTGGGAAGCTCCTGTTTTCCTCTTGGGGACCCAAAGACTCGGCCAAGTCGGAAAAAGAGGGAGGAAAGGTAGAAACAATGAGCAAGGAGATCTCCAGAAAAAGCAACAAAAAAAAAGAAATTGCTGAGGCGGTGCACTTCACGAGAAAAACGGGCAGAAGCACCCTGCTCAAAGTGTGTGTGTGTGTTGCAGACCAAATGTGTGTGTGCGTGTGGTAGAGAGTGCTGGAAGCTCATTACACTAATGCACTGGTCCCTTAGGGAGTTGGCAAGCTTGGAGTAACCCCCCAACACCACCTCTCTTTTCACCCCTCCTCTTCCAGCAACTGCTACCTATATTGCAGAGCCTGGGACCCTTGCCTACCTTCCCCCACCTCCCCTTCTCCAACACAAACACGTACACACACATTTATACATACCCAGCTACCTGCAGGCATGTCGCACTCCCGTCCCCGCTGCGTTTGACATGAGGGAACTACATGTCCTGTGCTCGCTGCTGGATATTTCGGAACAGTGCGTTTCGGTGAACAAGAGTGGATCGGGGGGGTGGCTGCCGTGTGCGTGAGGATGAGGAGACGTGGGTAGAACTAAGCCAAGTTTGATAGGAACTCAAGGGTTGGAGGGGTGAGGAAGAAGAAGGGGCTCGGCGAGCAGCAAGTACATTTGTTACACATGTTGCCTTGTAGATACATCAGTGCGCAAGATGCTGACAAGAGGGTTGGGGTGGGGGATGTCTTCCTTCCTGTTGCAGGGGACCATGGTTATGTTGAAGATCTCCGCTTTCCTCGTTGCCTACGCCCTGGTCATCTGCCAGATGTACTGCTCACAAGCCGCCCCTGCCAGGTGAGACACGGTTCTTGCGACTTACTTTTCGTTCAGTCGGCTGTCAAGCACTTACAGTGATTTATGGATTTTAAAAGCAACACTCATATGGCAAACAATTGGTTTCCTGGTTTTCAGGAGTTTTTTTCTCTTCTTTTTTTAAAAAAAAAAACTGTAGTCTTTAAATATTTTTCTCGTCATTGTGTTTTTCTTTTTGAGGAATTATCTGCAATAACATTAATAGAAGCAGTAAAAGCTGATATACATTAATGTACATGTACAAGTGTTATGTTTTATTATCAAATATATAGCACACTGTAAACTCAACTACATGGCAAAGACACAAAATTTAATACTTATTTTCCAGTTCCTAATGCAAATATCTTGGTACACTTGGAAATAAGGCAAACTAAATTTACAAATAATTTTAGAAATTAGAAATATAAGATAATAATATAGTTAATAATTTTCTAATTTTGGTTTTAAGAAGTAACATTGACATATTTTTTTTTTGTAACTGTCTTACTATAAATGAAATAATCTGCCAGTGGAACTAGAACTTTTCATCAATACTAAGGATTTGTTTGTGTGAAACAATCTCCAATTTTTTGCTGAAAAGTTAGTTCTCTTATTTGCTGTTCCGAGTTATTTCCACTGGAATAAACAAAAAAGTACTTGGTAAGATTTTGAGTTGTTGCAGTGTAATTTATACATTCTGACATTTGGAATATTTTCTTTTAAAAGGTTGTTTTACTAATTCGTGTGACTTGATAAAATGGAATAGAGTTGAATAGAATGTGCTAGATTTGATCCCGATCTTGGACGTCTCAATTGTAGCTAAACATTATGATGCAAATAATAATAAAAAAAGAATAAATCTAATGCTTAGTTTAGAATTTAAAAATCACAAAGTTAGGAAGGAAAACTTGAAAAACATGGATTTTGTTTGCAGAAGTTGTTATTGCGCATCTATTCCGCTGTTTACCTACTATTAATAAAACACAAAAAGAGGAAGTTGTAATTCACTCCCGAGGGAGATAAATGAGACCTATATATCCATACGGAGCTCCATTCCAGCCACTCTCCCGAGCGTCCCTATGAAGCTATTGATTTTGTAATAAATCTAAAGCTTGTTGGAAATCAACCCCCCCCCCCCCCCCCCCCCCCGCAGACCCCCCCCCCCCCCCAGCTGCCCCTCCACGCCCTCTCCCCAGACGCCCCGCTGGCCCTCAAACCCAGACGCCATTACTCTCCGAGGTGCTGATGTCTCTGCCTCGCCTTCCCATACATCGTCTTTACCAGGACCCCCAGATCCCACCCCAACACACACACACCCACACACACATCCTGGCGGTTGTGGGGCCGTGTGAGCTCTTAGACCTCTTCAGAAATGTTCAAAAACCAGCTTTTGAGTGACTTAAATGCCCCATGAAATGTGTGACAAATGTCCCCAAGGGGGAGATAACTCCTGGCCCGCTGACCGCTTGTCCCCTTGTTGTCCCCTGAACCGTCCCATCACAGACCAGGTTTGGAGTCCATGTCAGAACGAGTCACGCTCACGGACTACGAGGCGCGAAGGTTACTGAACGCCATCGTCAAGGAGTTTGTGCAGATGACGGCAGAAGAGATGGAACAGCAGGCGACGGAGGGAAACAGGTACATCCAATTCTTATTTCCTCAAATGAAGCTTTAATATTTCCTCACAGCAGAAGCAAACTCACAGACGACTCGATTTCTAATGGAATGATGCAGAAACGTCTCAATTAACTGATCATAAAGTTGATTTTATTTACATATTACCATGTCTTATTCTGGAGGTTTGTACAAATAGTGTGGTGGGTTTAAGAACAGATCTGTTCTAGAATTATTAGACTACATTTTGTTCCGGCAACGATGTAGACAGGTCCAGAAGCCTGGCTGCTTTTGGCGAAAATGTAAACCGGACGGATTGTTTTTAGATTGTTCCCACGTTTCACTCTCTGGTTTCGTTCTAACACCACTGCTGATGCATCATCATCAGTCAGCTCTAGAGAGGTATGTCCTTACATAGGGAAAAAAAAAACACAAAATAAAAAATAAAAAAACATGTTTTTTCCCCACAACAAAATGCTAAAATGGAGAAACGAAAAAAAAAAAAAAGAAAAAAAAGATAATCTGTATTCTCTGTCATGACCCTTTTCCCTGCATGAAACAAGCCTGGTTTTGACTGTGTGAAGGGGTGAAAAACTGCCTGCTGGGCATGTGAAAAGCATATATTCACTTTTCAGACCCCCACTCAAAAAAAAAAAAAAAAAAACCAAATATGCATGATGTCAGTTGTAGTTACGGGAAGCTGCATGACTGCGGGAAGTGGATGGGTTGTTTTTGTTGGTGTAAAAGAAGAAGGATTTGTGGGAGAGGGGGTTGTGGGTTGGCGCATGATGGGACGGATGACGAGCTCTTTGAATGTCTCAAAAAAAAAGGAAAGCTGGTGGCATGATGCTGTATGAGATTTCCTGTATGAGAGTTCCTATTTCACGTTTGTTCAAACTGTGACGGCATGAGACAGAAATGCATGTGAGGTCAGAGCGGCGTGTGAGCGGAGGTCAAAGGACAAGACCAAACTATGATGATTTGTCTTGCATGTTTTCCCTCACCTATGAGTCCTTTTTTTCTCTGCATGTCTTTTCTGTGTGTCCCCTCCCCGACAGCATGGACAGACCCCTAACCAAGCGCTGTTCCAACCTCAGCACTTGCGTGCTGGGCAAACTGTCTCAGGAGCTGCACAAGTTGCAGACATTCCCCCGCACGAACGTGGGAGCGGGAACGCCCGGCAAGAAGCGCAGCGCTCCTGAGAGGGACAGCTATGCAAGCTACGGCGAGACGTTTGACAGCATCTAAACCCTCCTTTCTCCTCTCTCTCCCTTTATTTATCCTTTCTTCTTTCCTGTCTCTTCCTCCCGGTTTGCTCTCCGTATTTTTCATCCTGGCAAGTGCATGCTAACTCCTACCGGCTTGAGAAGAACCTGACTTTTCTCTCTCTTTTTTTTTATGTACCTCTTTCCTGCCTTTTTTCCCCTGCTCGTTTTTTTTTTTGGCAGAGAATAATTTGTTCCTTTTATCTCAGACAATCAGACATAATTTACACAGCTGTAACTTACAACATCAGATATCCATTTCTGTGTAGTGTTATTTGATGGCATCTAATAAGACAGCTCACTTAATGTAACCATTAATAAATAATACACTCATGACGACACCATGTTTGTTGTTCAATAAACGTATTTTTCTACCAGGAAGCCTTAGCTCCTGTTCGTTTTTCTTAAAGACTCACCAAAATTGGGTTGCATGAACACGCGAGAAGAAAAATTGGTTAGCATGAATATGAGCAAAATTAAACAAGAGTGTAAATATACCATAAAACGCTTCAGTATGTCCAAAGGTAAGGAAATAATCCACTCATGAGGACGCCAATGTTTGTTATACAGTGAGCGTAATTCTCTACCTGGAAGCCTTAACTCCTGGCTTAGCTGTTCATCCGTTAAGACACAAAAATTGGTTCATATGAACACGCAAGAACCAAACTAGAGCATAAATACACTTTAACACTCCTTGAAATCTATTAAGTTGTCAATCAGTTCAGAGGTAGGAATATAATCCACTCATGAGACACCGTATTAGTTGCTCAACGAATGTGTTTTCTACAAGACAGCGCTAGCTAGCTAATGTATGCACACGCAAGACTGAAAAAACAAATTAAGAGCGTAAATCCACTTTTAAGACGCCTTGAAATCTGCCTGGGAAGTCCCCAGTTAGTCAACAGGTAAGAAAATACATAAGCTGTTGCCTTATTTGTCCACTTTCATCAAATACTAATCATACTGCTAGTGTGTTGTGGATGTTACCTCAAGTAAGCGTAACGTGGCGTTGTCGTGCTAATCTCCGTTTGCTGTCCTGAAGCAGCGTTACAGCACAGAAGCGCGCCTGCAACACGGCCACGTGCGTGACCCACCGCCTGGCCGACTTCCTGAGCCGGTCGGGGGGAATGAGCAACAGCAACTTCGTTCCCACCAACGTTGGCGCCAAGGCCTTTGGCAGGCGGAGGAGAAGCGTCCAGATGTGAGCGCTCTCCATCGGTCTCCTGGGGAATGGTAAAACACAGTTTTATGCAAATTGTATTTCATCGATTAAAGTTTGGCGTGGTTGCCTTTGGGCGTACCTCAACGTCTCTTTGTTTTCTGTCTTTCAGAGGCGGACACCTGAAAAGAAAAAAACCCCAAAAAATACGACTTGTGAACAAAATCCAACACAGCAAAACTACGCAGATAAATACTAAACTGGCCCTTTACCTTCTCTTTCACATTCTTACTGGAAAAGAAAGGATGTTTTGTCCCCGTTATCCATCCTGTTAATCCTTTTCTTTAATTTTATTTATTTATTTATTTTGGGCTTTTGGCAAATAACTGAAAAAAATATTGGGAAAAAAGCACTTTACTTTATGTACATGAACAAATGAACTTCTTAAAGTTAAAAAAAACAACAAAAAAAAAACATCCCGATGGTTACTCTTTTTTATACATGGATATTATTGGAAAATAAAATGAAAACAGCAGTGGTCATCACTTTCTTTTTTCCGCCCCACGTTTCGCCTCGTTAGAGCACATTTGTAGCGCAGACCCCCGCTGAGAGTCATATCTTTACATTCCCCCCTTTACTAAAGATCCTCCCCACTTCGCTCCCCACACAACGGCTGTTGTCTTGTGCCTTGATGTAGAAAAATTTACATGAACATGATTGTACGGCTTTGTTTTGAGACGGCAAAGAAGAACCCGAGTGAGGATGAGGAGAACGGTGGTGGATTCATATTGTAAACAATATTGTGAAAAACAAAAAAAAAATTTCAGCAAGATTAAAATGTATTTTAGATACACTTTGGTTTGAGGTAATTGTGTTGTTCTTCGAAGCATTTCGTAAACAGATGTAGAGAGAGAGAGAAATAAATCACCTGCCGCTTATATTTGTACTGACGATGCTGCCATTGATCCCGAAATAAATATGAAAACTATTAATGTTTGAGTCACATTTACAAAAACAAACAGTCCACAGGGAGCAGAAATGGCCCATTCCAAACAACCCGGACACGTGACAAGAAAAACGTGGAATTGCTGAACAAAAGGCAGCCAAAAAAACCAAAAAACAACCACATCTGCACATCAAGCAGCGATATTTTAGGCAAAATATTAAAAAAATTAATAAAAACCAACATTTGAATTTTATGCAGGAAATTTAACATGATGGAAACCTTTTAGAGGAGTTTGACTTGTTGTTCCAGCAACGCTCCAATAGATGGCAATCTAATTATCCACACAAAAGGCTTCTGTGCTTCAAGAGAGGAAACCAAACCTTCCGTTCTCCAACACCTCAGGCTGCCTTCACATTTTCACAGACCATCTCAGACCGGGATCGAGTTGTGGTTAATTCTGGAAATACCTGAACTTGAGACAGAACATCAGCCGTGGTGCACCTGAAAGGGTTCATCAGGCAACACGCTCCACGCAGCAGCCAGTGGTTTCCCCGTCCTGCAGAGAAACACTTCTGTGTTCCTGCCAGTGATTTGGAGAAATTTGTCGTGCGACGTTTTCCAAAGAAGTGAAATGAAATGGACCAAATTCTGAATCAGTAAAAAAAAAAAAAAAAAGACCTTTCAGTTTTGTTGGAACTTAAATATGCACATTTATCTGTATAGTTTTTTTCTCCTAAAAAGAATAAACAAACCCAAGGTCACCAAAGAGGCTGCAGGTTTACGGCATCCCTTCCTCCAAGGTACGGGATGTCTGCAGTGTTCTTTAAATGGAAAGATATTTCCTGTTTGCTTTTCTGAAGCTTTTATGTTTTCTCTGTCTGTAGGGAATACTTAGTTCTACCGGTGCATGACTGAAAAAGAAAATTGTATTTTTGTTTCTGTATTTCATAAACGCATCAAATATAAAATTACTTTATTCAAATACATTCCATTTTAAATGTGAAAGCATCATAAAAAGTAGCTCTTTGAAAGGGTTTCTTGCCTGCAGGTGACGTTGTATCATTGTGGAACGACACACTGTAATAAATGTCTCAAAGAGTGTTTCACCATCATTTTTTAAAAATTATCTTCATGAAAAGTTGATTATGGCTCTTACTGTAGTCTTTAAGCTAGTTTATTATTGCGGTGATCTTTTTCTAATTTCCACACATGTTGTTCCATGAAACGGATTAATTCAGCCCCTTCAAGGCGGAAGAGGTTAGAAACCACTTTCTATGTATCTTGCTACCTGTTTCTGGACTGTCATTCTCACTTACCCCATCCTTTTGGTCCAGTCCAAGTTTCTCCTGGCAGTTTGTTTCTTCATCACATTTTAATTCCAATTAATTGTAACTTTAGACAACCAGAGCTATGATATTTCACCTACAGAGTACAATAGAGTCCAGTGGTTCGCTGTTGTCTTAGGATAACACTAGCTATTAATTTAGCTTTCCAAAATTAGAGATTTGTTTCAATCAATCATAAACAAACTAAATAAGCAAAAACAACATTAATAAATAACTCCATGATCTACAGCGATCCGACTTCACTTTTATTGGTTCCACAAACCAATTGAAACCTTAATTGAGGTTCACCTGCGATTTTGTGATTGAAGATCTCGGCGTCCTTTGTGTCGGTTGAAGCGTCGTCTTTCAGCTCATCGCTGTTGATCTGCGTTTACATTAGTGCGACTTTAGAGACGGAAGGCGTAACGAGCGCGTTCCAAGTGGGGGAAAAACGTGCCAGACAGGATAACGTTGATCCTATCAGGCTGCTCGGATGAATGCTAAGCAATGCAGCCGAGCAAAAAGGGGGTATTTGCCACTACTTGCTTCATGCTCCAACACACAAGTGTCTGCGGCAAAAAAAACAAAGGAGTTTTTTGTTAAACATCGTACGTAGTGCAATGAATCAGTGAGAAAGGAAGCAAGTATTGACAATAAAAGGACCAATTGGCTGATGTATTAGCCCTACAAATCCATCAGCTGGGAGTTATTTCGAGAGCTTATGTCATTACTGCTGAAGCAGAGAGGGGAATTGTTTTCTATTCCCCCTTGAACTTTTAAAAAAAATTCCTGATCTGTCACACTATCTGCTGCTCCGTCTGCCGGAGAGAGAGAGCAACTAACTTCCACATGGAACATTTTTCTGAAATGACAGAAGAGGAAAAATAAAATCTCATCTCCATGTTCCGGACGACTGAGAGGAGCAGGAGGTTGCGGGGAGCTGATTCTTGGGGTCGGTTCGGTTTTAGGATTCTTTCTCAGCCGTAATCTTAACAATCCCACTTTGTAAAAAAGGAATAGCGTTCCTAATGGCAGACAGCTGCTTTGAATGGGGCACGAATTAAACAATTCATATCGGAGACAAACCAAGAAGTGGAAGCCGTGCCTCTTATCCGGTTCCCCGAAACCCACACCACAGACCCGCTTCCAAACCGAGGGTTTTTGGAAGACGTTTTCCTTTTAAATAATAATTTGATGGTCAGGGGAATAGAGAGCCGAAGGCACGATGCTGCATCTGAGATGGTTTATGTTCCACCGGATTCTGCAACTTAGCACATTACTGGTTCTACTGAGCGGACCCTGCTTGGTTTCATCATTTACCAGCATTCCTTTGTTTTTACAGTGTACAACCTTTCTGCTTTGCTTGTCTTTATTGTGGAACTTATCAATATTTTTTTAACACAACTGTTTAAAGCGATATGTGAGGATTTAGTCTGGACAATAGGGCTAACAGTAAAAGGAATGTTTTATCCCAATTGAACAGCTTTTTGTGTCAAAACGCAATAAAAACAAGCGTTTCTCAGGTTCTGCACTGTGGGGTCCCGTTTGGAAAATTAGCACAGTCAGAAATGAGCAGAAATAATTTGGGTTGTTCATGCCCAACATCTCAGCTTAAAACGTAGGATGAGCCGTTTCAGTGGCAAGAGCGATAAATACCAGTGGCTCTACTACGGCAACAGTGACTGCACCGGCTCACCGGCAGGAGTTTATATAGAGGCCTGCGAGACCCAGCTTTAAATACGAAGCTTAAAGTCAGTTTTAAAATAAAGATGTAGTTTGCGAGCTAAACAATTAGCTTGTTGCCAAATATTTGGCTTTAAAATCAATGTCTAGATCACTAATTCTATCAATAGTGAGAGCAACATGCAGGACTTTTCCTGGTGTACTGGTACCAGTCTGTAGTGGTGACGAGAGAGCTGGGCCAAAAGGAGAAGCTCTAGATTTGATGGTTGATCCATCTTCATCTTTGATCGTGACAGAAAAAGAAGGTTTGCAGATACAAGTGAACAAAATGATCTCTTAGAAATGGGGTGAGAAGCTGAGTCTTCTGGGAGTGACTGGAGCCACTGCTTCTCCATGTCGAGAGGAGTCAGCGGAGGTGGCTCAGCCATCTGGTTGGGATGTTTCCTGGATGCTTCCCTGGTGAGACATTCAGGCACGTCCCGTCATTAGGAGACCCGGAGGAAGACCCTGAACATGCTGAGGGGATTTTTCTCTCTGCTGACCTGGGAACATCTTGGGATTCACCTGGAAGAGCTGGAACAAGCAACTGGGAAGAGGGAAGCCTGGGTCTTGTCTGTCCAGACTCCAGATGAGCAGAAAATGGGGACTAATGTTGTTGGCACACTCTCCAAAAGACATACAGACTTCTGTATATCTAATTTTTAGGAAAGACTCTTGAGATGGGGTTTTGTATATGTATCCAGGAATGTGATGGATATAATTTTGTGTCTTATATCTCAATCTTTTTGCAACAGAACAATCTCGTTAGCCGAAGTCCGTTTCAGCCAAAAAACTGAAGTCTAACTGGAAGTGGAAGCAGAACCTCTGATTTGTTTTCTGAAAGTCTACCTTTGCATCACCGTCCCTATAATATATGTGCCGTTCTGCTCAGTTTTGCTCTTTTTCTCACGTTGGCCAGGAAATTAGGTCAGATATGTGAGGAAATTAGATGTTTACACTCACATTTACGCCGGAGCTAATATTTATTTTCCCCCCCTCTTAATGTGCACAAGGGTCTTATGTACGCATGGGAGAGCACGCGAAGTCGTACGCATCACATAACGGCGTGATGATTATTCACTCAAGAGTACAACCATTTAAGCCGCATCAGGCCGACGCAGCGGGGTCTTTCGTGGAAATTAGAACCAGCCGCTTCTCCACCGTTTATGCTTTTTTATTTTTCTTCCTCCATTTTTAAAGCCCCCCAGTTTTTTTTCCCCCATAAGGTAGTCATTTTCAGGCTGACGTGAAACCAGACACTCAGGAGCAGTCGTGGTGAAGGTCCAGAAACAACACCGGGCCGAGACCGACATCCCCTTTCCTTCCCCTTCCCTCATCCCCCTTTTCTCGGCCTTCTGGGACTAGCTCCTGGGAAGGAAAACACCCTTTCACCGTGTCAGAACTGGGATTTCTTTCTGCTGCCATGGCACTTTTTTGTTTTTTTTCTCCTCTCCATCTAAGTCTCTTTTCAGTCCCTCCCTCTTCTTCTCCCCTCCCTTCCCGTTGCTGCCACATCTGGAACCCAGCTCCTCGTGTATTTATGTGGTCTGTTTTGTTTCTTTCTTCTTTTTTTTTTTCTCCAAAAGTATTATTTAAAAGTTCTTTACCTAGTCTTGTTGGCAGCTTCTCTCCATCTGATGAAGTCTGCAATTACATCTCACCATAACAGGTCACTCTGCAATTACATGCTCCACCACAGAATCTTACCCCCATCCCACCACCCTCCTCTGAACTGAACCGCTGCTCATATGGCGGACCGAAATAGAATAGTTTCATGTCTGTTTGGATGGCAGCCCAGCTGAAACTATGCTCCGCCGTGACTGACAGTGGGATGTGGACTTTTTCTCCTTAAGAAAAAAA